ATGTACAGTTTTGACTGTCCTACGATTTTATTATATGTATAGATATTTGCTACCAAATGGTGGGAAATCCCACTTCAGGCACATTAGGCATTAATCTGTCGGTGCCAAGTTCATGAATCATATTATATTTTCAGAAAATATTCATAAAGACCTTGAGTGGCTTAGAAAATCCAGCGAGCCTTGGAAAACAGTTGAAGAGAAAAGGAAAAATACATTCAAGATTAGACTTGAAGAGACTAAAAATATAACAGTGTCTGACTACATGAATGAGTACCCTGTTTTAAAAAAGCCGACAGGGTATCAGCTACTTCTAATTGATTCTACGTTTTAATTAATAAAAGTGTTGATTCTTATTATTGTTTGTTATTCTTTTATTGGCATTTTCTGCGGGAACTGTCGTGTATCGACGTGATTGCTTAAAGTTCAGAGCTTTTATTTCTCGGAAAACTTAATGAATCTTGAGAAATAAAAGCATATTTTAAGCAATCACGTCTTTACCGACAGTTCCGGTGGAATAAGCCAACTACTTTTTCTGGTCCATTTACAAAATACGAAGTTACCTACACAATACTCTATTGTTGTCATTACAAGTCATTTTGTAATGTGAACGTATCATTCTGTTCCATTTATAATACAATATTTGTCAGAGGTACACAACAAATCGTATTAGTAATTTTTTTGTAGTAAATTAAACGATGACATTCAGTAAATTTAATTAAACGTTTGTATGTTATTTACAAAACTTTTGATTATCAAATACAAACTTTCTTGTTGGTAGGACAAAAAAGGATTGTAGACCTGAAAATTTAAATAGTAAAATTAACAATAACAATGTGACAACTACAATTTATGTTTAACTAGAATCATTGTGTAACGCTTACGATACGAGTGGTCGTCACATATAGAGCAATAAATATTGTAATGGTAACCAGAATATTGTTACACATACCAGAATAATTTTTCCGTGTAAAGATATTAGCTGTACTAGCTGTTTTCCTTTGCCTGCGTGAATTATAGTGATATAGCTTCCGTTAGTGAAAGATTTTTCATGATCGGAACAATGTTTCAGATTACCCCTACAAACAAAATTTTCGATCATGAAAAATTTTCGTTAGAAACTTTACCACCGGCGTAACTATACCGTTACAAATTCATCGGATATTTTTTAAATGGTTTTTTTACTAATTGTGTAATAATAAATGTCAGGAGTAAGGAGTCTCCTCTGACCGGGGCCCCTTCCAGCTGGGGGCCCATGGCATTTTGCCGACTTGTCAACTTGTAGTTGCGCCATTGAAATTTATGAAATGCACCTCTTTTTTATATAACTTAGTAAATGTTTAGAAAAACTAAAAGTATTATTGATTATTATAAATAACTCACTAGTATCATCGAATCATCTTGTCACAAAGACAATGAGAGATATCTATCCGCGTGGGTACAATTGATAACGGCTTATTTCAACAAGGTTCCATGTGTAAAGGTTGTGAGGTAAGCGATGGGACTTTGAGCGTCTCGTTGGTGGTGCCCACGCTTCCGCAGGCGTATTTACATAATCGGCACGATCATTCCGCATCATTGAGCAACTTGGATATTGGGAGCAGCCACTATTCGGCTATTCTTATAAAATTAGTTGAGTATTATCTATGCTTGGGTATTAGATATAGGGCATATCCACACTCACTCACACTGTCATCATACTTCAATGCAATGTGTAGCTGGGAGTTCAAGATACTTATTAAAATTTTGGTCACCCATCCTATAATAAGCCTTATCGAAAGTTACTTAATCTCCACGATGAAACCAATTACATTAATTATTGCGCCATCGAGCTCCTCATTACTATTATACATGACCATTATCATAATTTATCGGCCCAAGGCAGCGCGCCCACTTGGGCATAAGTCTCTCCCAATAGGCGCTGTTTTACTATATCTCGAGCTTTGCGCATCCAAGTTCTCCCTGCGACTGTCGTGCAGTACTGCTCTATTATTAAAACAGCTTTGAACTCGCCGTCGAGCGCAGCTTTATCATAGCATAGAGATTTAAACAATAAAATCGAATGCAAAAAGTAATAAAGGTCTATGCTGTCACAGCGCTATTGATGTCACAATTTTATCAGAATGACTTAGCTAAATGCATAAAAAACAGCAAATTTAATGTTAAATAAGCATGTTTGCAAACTATTACGATTATTTTAAACCTTCTCAATCACACATCTCAGTTACAATATTCTTAAAAAAAAGACTGCCTCCAATTATGAAAAGTATTTAAAAATATATATCCTAAATATTAAGATTGAGAAGATTTCGGGAACTCACCATTTGGCAAATGAGTAGCCTAATGGCCCTTAGAATTGATTGATCCTTTTTTCTTATTATTCATTCCAGTGTAGAATTTTAGACTACACTTGCTGAATTGCAGTTTTAACTAGCGGTTTACGGAAGATTTCACTATTAGGTACTGAACGTATTAAAAGTTTTATCATAATACAATATAAACTAGTTAACTGAAATTAGATAGTGTAAGTTTTTACTGATTACTTTTATTCTTATGGCCTTGTAATTAATCTCCCACATGCTTTCGAATTGTCAGGTAAAGTTTGGTAATAGTCAGCTAGAGATATAAGGCATTAAATATGTATTTTTTATTTCTTTTATGCAATAAAAAAAAAAAAACTTTGTAACTATAAACCAAACAAGAGAATACAGATTATAAAGAAACTGAATATGTTCTATGATTATTTGGTATAGGTACTCTGATCACGCATATAAAATTTCTGAATACACAATTGTTGAGATAATTCAAGTTAAGACCTATTTTCGTAATGATCTGATTAAATTTTATTAATCTTAAAAATCGATAAAATAAGAGAAGCCGAAAGTAAACGAAAATAACCTACATATTTATTTTTAATACCTATTTCACTTCTTTAAAGCTCTATTAAAGTTTTAAAACATAATACGTAAGTAGGTTTATTTAACTAATAAACTTGATAAAAAATCCATGGAAATTACCTGTCCGTGAAAGTGTGTAAATAGAAATTATATAGTTATATATTTCTATGTTGTATGTATGTATGTTTTATTATTGTTTAATTATTAGATATGTAATATATTAAGTTTGTGTAATAGCGTGTGTATTATCTGTTTATAACTAATTGTGCAATTATCTTTAAAGTTATTAAATCACTTAAAGGTCATCTACTACCCCATCATTAGCTTTTTTATATTAAACTCCATCCTAAGGTTGCCTGGAAGACATCACTTTAGTGATCAGGCCGCCCATTATCCGTCTCCTGCCTTTATTATATAACTGTATTTTTTTCTTGTTTTGTGTGTACAATTAAGAATATTCTATCTATCTATCTAATTTAATAATTAATGCTGACTTGTAATACATAAATGAATTTGCATTATAGTAATCCCGTCCGAGATTTTGTTGCCGTCAGAGTTAATACTCATTGCTATTCCATGGTTGGTGGTACCAGTACCTTTGTTGTTTCAATAGGTATTGTACACGAGTCAAAACAATGTAATTGATAATTCAATCAAATTTATTGTAGGTATGCGAGGAGATCGACTGCACAGTGGTTAGCGCGCTCGGTCCAACTTTCGCAATGGCGGGATCGGAGACCAAAAATGTATTATCTCGAACTCCTCCGTGATTCGGAAAGCACACTAAGCCGTTAATCCCGGCTGCATCTGTAGTGGTTAATATTCACCAATCCGCACTGGCAGGCCCACTGGTGGGTCATGCATGGCCCATTCACACTTTTTCTTTTGATTCGATTCCATCCATAGCAAAGGCCTGAGCTTCATCTGTTGATAAGTCGATGGCCGGTATCGATTACGTTATGTTTATTGTAGGTTTATATTACTGTTCACTCTTTCCTTAGGGCTCTTAAAATGTGTTTTTGTTATTGTACTATTGCGTTATTGCAATACCATAAAGCTTAGATAAATATTTATAATTATTTATCTAAGCTTTATGCAAAACAGTACCAATATTGGATTCAATAAGTAGTTGTTCTCTACCAATCAACTGAAAATTTAATAGCTAAATAGAAAGATAAAAAACATAACAGTAAATATTACTATAAAAATAACCTATTTTTTTTTTAATAAATAAGTAGTCGGTTCGGTAATCACTAAACCCTTTTCCGTATTTTTTATTTTGCCTCTGAATAAACAGAATTAGCTAGATATCAAGTCAATCAACATACTATATATAAATGTAATTCTGATGCACAAATTAACTGTATAAGTAAACATGTTTTATTTATCGGCATTTCACTTTTGTTTTGATAGAATGATTAAGTGATTTATTAATTTTGAATAAATTTGATTCATAATAATAATTTTTCATGTGATTGTTCTCAATAATCTTACGCAAATTGACTTTTTGTTATTTTTTCAAGACATTAATTGAATTATTTCTTATTTCAATAGTACTGTTACCTGCTGTCATTTTGATTTATCTACTCTGTGATTTAATTGTTTTAGTATGTGACTTTCATTTTTATTTCCTGTAATTAAGAAAGCATTTACAATAATTCTTTAAAGAAGTGTAAACTGTATATCAATGTTAATCTTGTTAGTGTTACTAAATATATGTTAATAATCCTACCAAACTGAGGAAACATAAATATTATTAGTAGTACTTTCCAGGAGTAGCATATATATTACTTTTATTACGACAGCGGTAAAACGACAAAGTTAGTGTTAAGTGGTACAAAATTTGCAGCATTTGAATTCAGAAGTAGAATAAAGTAGAGAGCAAAATATTGGTTTTAAAAGAGAATATTGCAAACAGGAAAACATATTATGCTTAGAGTTATGATTTATGTGTAATTAGTATTAATTTAGTTCGTGGTATATGAATATCAACTTGTATGATATCGTTATTAAAATTTATTAACAGTATAAACTATAATGTTTTTTTATATACCTATCAGGGTTAAGCAGATTCAGGACACCTATTAAATGCAAAATTTAAATTTAACGAGAACAGTAAAAATTTATTACACAATAAATAAATTTCAAAATACAACGGTTTTAAAGTATAAAATTGATAATAATCATTATTATGCACTTCATTAATATTTGTAATTATGGCAAAGTGAGAATTACAAATATATACCTAATAATATAATGTCTTTATCATCACAACACAATCACTATGTCACGCAAATGTCCTGTCTATATATTCATAGTCAAATTCAGCGAAGAACGAATCGAACGGCGAAAGCGAGTCCTCGGCGAACTCCGAAGTGGTCTCGTGTTCTAATTCCGTCGAGAACTCCGACAGATCCGAGCAGAATGGCGACGGCCAGCGCTCCGGTCTGGTGCTGGGATCGGTTTCCGAATTATCACTAAGAGCGGCGGAGAGAGCCGAAATGTATCGCATGGCGAGCCGGAGGGTGGTTATTTTGGTGAGTTTCTCACACGGCACGGGGGTGCCAGTGATCGCAGCCGCCGGGACAGCTCTGCGGAGGGTCTCGAACGCGCGGTTGATTTCGCGCATGCGGCTGCGCTCGCGAGCGTTAGCGGTTTTCCTGCGATACTTGCTGAGCGGCTGCGGCGTGCGGCGGGCACGCGGCTCGCGGGCGCGCGCTGCCCGCGGACGCAGCTGGTACTTGTCGTGTTCGGGCATGGAGTGCGCGAGCGCAGCCGCCCCACGCGACGCAGATCGATGCCGCCCGCGCCCGAATTCCGCTTGAAAAATACGCTCACTCCGCCCACTTGCCCCGCTTCGTTCATGTACTATCGCATATAAAATAAGTTATTGTTGGCTAATTACATTAGTTAGATTGTAGTTAAAATAAAGTCTGCTTGTAATATTAAATTTAATATTAATATTTTTAGATTATTACATTTTAAGAGACCAGGAAGACTCGAAATATTATGTTGACTTACCTATGATAGGTCACTTTCAATATATAATTAATGTCGTGTTTTTTCAATCTTTAATAACGTGATTCTCATTTATTTCAGAATGTGAATAAAAACCTGCCAAAAGTGAGTCCAATTCGTGCACAGATTTTTATGTAGATAATTTATAAATATAAAACAATTCTCTCTACTTTTTCCCAAAATTTTAAGCTTAAGTAGTGGTTCCCGTAATTAAGGGAATGGTAAATCATGTTTTTTCTTAAATAACTTCCTGCCTACTTCAAAATTATAAAACAAAATTTGAGAATCGCATAATACACCCTTAGAGATGTTCGAATTAACTTCCATAAAAAAATCCTCGGTTATAACAAATTTATTTATTTATATTATACGGGCGTCTTTGGGTCATTAACTTATATTTATATCCAGTACAATAGTTTTCGAGAAAATTGGCTGTGACAAACAGGGATAGACAAACAATTAAGCGATCGTATAAGAATTCCGAATTTCCAGTTTTTTTTTTACGAAACTAAAAACAATGATACTTTATTTAATAATTTTACTTTATTTAATAACGTTTCATAAACTCAATTTAGCACTTAAAGTTTAATATAGCGTGTAAAGTTTAACCTATTAATGTAATGTCACCCAATACGACCCAATACTTTTGACCTATGTACTAAAAAATAAAAACCAATCAGAATACGACTCATAATGCGCTCTAGCGATCAAAAACGGTAGCCCTTGATGGACGATAGTGCTTTATATTGTGGAACACTTTTGAGCGAGAGCATACATGGTTACAATGAATGAACAACTGAACAGTCAAGACATATATAAATAATTGAAGATATAAAGTTTGATACGATTTGCATATTCGATTCGGCATTTCCGTTCTTACGACTAGTTTGCCGATGGCTAATTGTTTACTGACCTTGCATAACTAATGCGTGGGCTAAAGTTTAATGTGTAGGTGCTTGATAATGTCACAAAATTATGGACAGAATAATTTTTACTTAAATGAAGTCGCATTTTTACAACATACCTACGTTGTAAAAATGCGACATTAACATGCGTTGTATTAAAAAGAATTGTCTCCTTTTTTTTCTTTTTTCAAACTTACAAAATTTGTAGTTCGAGCCGATCAACCTCTTTCGTGCAGTCGAAGAATTCAATAGGTTGATCGTGGGCTGATCTGATTGAGAGTATATGTATTTAGTTAGCTTTCTGAAATTCCATTGCTATTCTTAATTTAAAAATAAATAATTTTAAAAGATACCATCGCTAAGGATTTTTTATCCTAATGTGTACCTATAGTAAAACGGTAGTTTTTACTTTATTCTTGTGTAGAAATATAAGGTAATTTCAATTAAAAAAGATTTGAAGTATTAACTAAAAATAAATAACATCTTTTATGAGCAGAAATGGAACTACAAATTCAACTTTTACTTTACTTGGATAAAAATCGTATTTTATTCGATATGAAAAGTCACTGCGAAAACTTTATTAGCAATTCAACTTCGGAAACTTTGTGCAAATTCCCGCCATTTCGATACAACCTCGAGATTGATGTTATGACTTTGCTCGACTTTTTACCTGAACTTGGAAGATCGTTGTTAACTGAACCATTAAAGTGGCAACGTACTTGTGATAAAATCTTATATGCTATATTACGATCCTTCGAAAATGACTTCCTAGATACTATTCAAACGAATCAAGTTGCTGTAGTAATAAGGTTGAAGAACATATCTCCTCATATGACGGAATCAGGTCCGGGTGTTTATAAAAGCCTGGATTGTTTTAAAGGGAAGCTTCTTAATGTTTCAAAACCTTTTCCATACGTATACCATACAGTATGGTCATGCCCAGAAGAATGCGATAGCAACGAAGTCATTATACGTGGTATACCTAAAACACCTACAAGATGCTCGGTCTGCAGAAGTATTCTCTTTGAAAATTCTGTACTGAGAAGATGTGGAGAACAAATTACTGCCACATTCAAAATGAAAAATGTAGTTATGCCAAAAAAGCTTGAAATTGTTGACGATTTATTATTGAAAGCAAAGCTAGGTCTAAACTATCTTATAACAATAGTCGTACAAAAGAATATTACAGAAGTTTGGTCAATAGAAGTCCTCGAGCCTCTCCTTTTACCAATTACAGCTTTTACTTCGTGCGACATACAAGAATTATTCGATGTTTGCGATGGTGTACCGTGGAAGTTCATTTATTGTCTAGCATCCACAATTGGCGCTACATTATGTCCACTCAACTGTTTTATGCACTTAAAAATTACTTTACTATTAAGTTTGACCAGCATCAAAGCTAATGTATTTAATGTGTCTAACATTATTCACGTATTAGCTACAGGTTTTGATACAAGATTTGTAGGAAAACTGATGTATGCTGGAGCTGCGCTCGCTAACACTTCCATGGCACTCGGAACTTCAAACACCTCAATTACATCATCTCTAATAGCATGCACTGGTGGTATATTATTCATGCCATTACCTTTGCATACTTATCATAAAAAGTTAACAGGCGCTATTCTATCGTCTATCGAAAGTAACGAAATAATTCACGATACAGGTAGAATAAAACTTGGATGTGCGGTCTGGGCGCAAGGAATGGATTTTAAGAATGTTAATGTTAACGACATCGCTAAGGTTTTCGGTACAGTATGTCGGGGCGATTACGGAGAATATGAGGATGATATAGCAGAGTATATGCTTTTAAAAGCAATAGATCCAAACCATAATAGGAATGATGAGAAACAAGCAATGACGGACGTTGCACAATACATAGATCTAGTAGCTAGTATACCTGTGAAATTAGACTGTGTGTCAGAAAAGAAATTAACAAACTATTTCCTGGCAGCACGCAAGGAAAGACCGCGCGGCGTGCCAATCGGGAGCTTGGAGACATTGTTAAATATTTGCATGAACTCGGCGCGCCTGTGCCGACGATTCGTGACAAATGAACAAGATGCGATATTTGCAATCTGGTTGCATGTTAGCGCATGTTTCGAGCCGAGATTTGCACCTGATGAATATCTCCAGACACCAGCCGACGTTAAACAATTGCATAAAATTTTTGATAATTTTAAAAATTGGCTCAACGAGTTTACAGGTTCCTATGATTATTAATTAACGATATATTTGAAATTTAAAATAAATAAAATCTGAATAATAGCTTTTTGTTTATTATAAACTTTTTATTTATAAATCACACAATCAATCTAAAATAATCAATTTAAAAAACAACACTTAGTCATTTGGTGATTCCTGAGAAGAGTTGGTGGCACTGCCATCCTTAAAAAAGGAGGCTTTCGACTGAATGTAGGATTTTTTGTACATATGTTTCACAACATCTTCACCAATAGACAGATTTTAATGATCCAATTATGTCTTTAAAGGGTACCTATATTCACGAGGCGGTACAAGTCTTAAATATCATAATCGGTTCATTAATTTGGTTTTTATATATAAAAAATGGAAAACCACATCACCTAAACTATCTTGACGATATCATTGTCCTTTAAAATATAAAAAAATACTAATCTATATACGTAGTAAACATATTCAATAAATATTTAGGTATTACATATATATAGGTTTTTTGAATATAGACATCATATTGGGCTATGGATTCGACCGAGACTACTTTCTCAGAAATCATCCATTTACACATATGTAAAACAAAAACAAATAATAGGCACAAACAATTCATCGTACGAAGTAACATCAAAAGTAATTGGTACTAAAGAACATAAAGCCCGCGCCAGACATGTATGCACATTAGTGAAAAGTTCTTTGTTCAAATAAAGTGATTAAATAAGTGCATGTAGTAAGATACAACCTGCGCAGATTTCAAAACACGGCCAATGTCGACCAATTGAAACGATTAAAATATCATGCCATCCGGAGATCATCTTTTAGGAGAAGAACATCTTTTAAGTTGTATCTTATATATAACATAAAGATATTGAAATAAGACTCACTATAAATTGCAATCGTACTTTCGGTCGTCTGAATTGGTAGGTCTGTTCTGCGCAACTAAGATTCACCATACCCTATATATGTCAAATTGAAACTTACTGTGTCTAGCGCTAGGGTAATAGTTATATAAGTTCCATTTACATCCAACTTTGATGATTACTCAAAGGTTTTCTTTGATAGCACTACCGATACATAGTGATTTTCATTTTATTACATAGAACAGAAAGTATGTAATGTTATAAAAATCATTAAAACATTTTTACTAAGTTCAAAACTTGTAGCTTGCTTGTCAGAAATTTGTTAATTATATAACATCAGCACCACTATCTACTTAAATCTTAGCTTAAATGTAAATTTCTACAAAAATACTTAATCTTAGTTAGTTGAAAAAATAGCACCATGAATTACTATCACACTTAAATGCTTAATAAAATGGACTAGACTTCTTTGTGATGTGATTGTAAATATAATTTGCTTACATTCCTTTTGACGTCAACTAATGTTAATTTTCAGTATAATTTAACACTAAATAATAAAGTTTTTTTTACAGTTTAACAATGGTTAAATATCTAAATTAAAAACTGTAATATTCTTTCTTATAAATTTCGTAGTTTAGACTATATGTTTAACAAGTATTTATGATTATTATATTTCTTCAATTTTGCATTCACAGTGCTATATACTGAAAAAAATTCTTAATTAAAAATACTTAAAAAATCCACTTTGTCTATGACACTCTGAAATGAGACAAAATGGATTGTTTAAGCATTTACATTAAGAAAAGTATTTATGATCTCAATCATTTAAAAAACTGAAATCTAAATTAGCCTTTTTGTGTAATACATTTTTTGAGATTTTCAGTTTTTCAGTCAGCTCAATGTGGCTTCGTCTTAATTTCAAACTTTCTTCAATGAGAGATTTAAGTTCTTCGTCTTCTTGAACTTTATTTGTATCTATAATTTTCATGCAATGCCTAGACACGGGTTCACCAATTTTAAAATTACTTTTTTGTATTGATACCACACTATAGGGAAGGTCATCTATATTTTGAGTATTGCTGGCTAACATGCTGATTGTGGACCACATACAACTCGAAAGCTTCTCCATAACAGTATTTGCTTGAGCACTTATATTATCTGCATAACCTGAAGCATTTGCAATAATCTCTGAAATTTTAGAAAGTTCTAAGCTCAAGTCCATTATTTTAAGATAAAATGGCTGATGGCGCATCTCAGCCAGTATTTTGTTTCTTAATTTGATACAATCTTTGAACACTTGTATGATATCTATGACTTTTTCCCTGCTTTTATAATCATTATAATTTTCTATTTTCTTGTATGCAATGTAAGTATTTTGAGCTTTGGTGAAAAGTGCTTGATAATTGTATTTAGTAACAAAAGTATTCAGATCTGTTGAGATGCCTTCTATTCGACGCTTAGCTGCCGACTCAACTCGGACAGTGAGCTGAGACCATGCATTTTGTAATTTATTTATATCTTCAGTTATATCATCAACTTCTTTAAATAATTTCTCAAATCCACCTAGAGCATTAGTGGCTAATCCATTCTCTCTCAAATGTTTGATATGGTCTTTTCCTTGGTCACTAAATTGTTTGATAGTTTCTTCTTTGACTAATAGTTTGCCTAAGGATTTATCAACCATGTTGTGCCTAAGAAGCAAATCTTTACTTTCATTTTTAAGTGATTCAGATCTAACAAATAGACCCTTAATAAGTGAATCATATAGTTCCATTTGAGCCATTACAAAATAAAAACAGTTTTTATGCAAATTCTGACAGTTCTTGAAATTCTGCATGAGCTCCGGAGATGCTGTAGATTTTGTATACCTTTGTACAAGTTCTGGCACCTTAATTTCTAGGTTTTCTGTTATCAAAACAGATTTACTAAACAAAAACATTGTGTTATTGCTATTTTCATCCCAATATTTTAAAAGAATTTCATTAATACCAATGCAAACATAATTATTTTGTGTGATTATAATTTGATCTTCAATAGGCAGACCTATGTCTTTCTCAATCCAACTTTTCAACATTTGAGCTGTTGTTGTGTTATCTATTTCAAATGCATAATGAGATAATGTTGCTACAGAGAATACTTTGAGTATTTTTTTAGACAAAATATTTTCTAGAAGGCTAAAAATAATAACTTTGCTTGATGTACTCTTTTCCTCTGATGGTATATCAAATGTAACTTTTGAAGGAGCATCTCTCCCCCTCAGTTTAGGATCCCATTCTAATGCTATTTTTAACCAGTCTTCAATTAAACATTTCAATGGTTGGGAAATGTGATTTTCAGGAAATATTTCATTTGAATATTTAATATCACCATGGAATGTTTCATACACACAGATGTCATCATGTGTTTTGGCTTTAACATGGGGCATCCACTGCACTGGAGCCATGAAAGGAAGAAAAGGTCGAGTTCCACAAATTATTTCAAATGCAAGAAGACCAAATGACCAATAGTCTACAGAGTTACTGTATGTTTTACTGTAAAATATTTCAGGTGCTAGATACTGCAATGTTCCCACAAAGCTGGCACATACAGAGTTAGAATCAATCTCTTTTGCATAACCAAGGTCAATTAGCTTATATACAACTTCTTTCTTCGCTTGTAACCCATTTCCACCATCTAAAATATGTATGACAATATTCTCTGGTTTCACATCTCTATGTGTGATTTTATTGCTATGAAGAAACTGAAGAGCATTTCCTATATCTTTTAATATTTGACGAACTTGTACTTCCCTTAATCCGTGACAAGATTCCGGTAGATTTAGGTGTTGCCTTAAATTACCTCCAGCACAAAATTCCATACACAAAATTGGCAATTTAGAAGGATTAACAGTTTGTAGGCCATCCTTAAGTTCTGGGGGTAACGGTTTTGTACCAACTATGTTAGGGTTGTGGTAACTTTGGAGAATTTCTACTTCTTTAGTCCATCTTTCTTTGTGTTTTTCCGTGAGTTCATCACCCCATTTACACGTTTTGATAGCAAGCCTTTCCTGTGTTTTTTGATGTTTCCAAAGAACAACTATACCGAAACTACCAGTTCCTAAAACTCTGTCTTTAACCCACTCACCTATAAACACTAATTTATCCATAGTGCCTTAAATAAGACAACAAAGCTAGAATTTTAATAAATCCACCGAATCCATGTTTAAAAATAACTCAACTATGGATGTATGCATGAATGAAGTGTAATATCGGATTGATGAAACGGAAACAGTTAAAATATCGATATCTAAAAATATAGAATGTCACGATATCGAACATACAATCAAAATAATCACCAAAAGGAAAACTTCGAATATCCGGTATCCGGCCTTATCACTAGTTTCATCACTATTAATATCATTTAGTTTGTTTGTTCGATTTCGTGATATTCTATATTTTTAGATATCGATATTTTAACTGTTTCACTACAAACAAAACTACTAGATAATTTTAAAAATTCTTTTACCTACGGGAAGCTACAATATACACGAATGACATAAGCTGCATATGTCTACTTGACAGTTATAAATATATTTGGAAATGGTAACTTAAAAGTATATTTTTGCAAAATCAACTTATGATTCGAATCTGTGGATTATAAGAACTGAAAATCATATCGTGTATCGTGTGTTACATTTCAATAAACTAAACATCTTTGTTGCGGGTGCGTCATGATTATTGAAATGTAACGTCACGGCTCGTAATTTAACATAACTGATTGCTTTCGCGAGGCAATTTAAATAATGAATAAAAATAAGTTTTACTTTCATTTAATAACACTTTTGGTGAAAATGATATTTGGTAGTGGTCAAGTAGATAATTAAAGCAAGCGAAGTCGCGGAAAAACAGCTAGTATTTAATAATTGATAGCTTCAAGTAAATTAGGTTGACAAAAGAAGCGAATGCGCGAGTATGTTCCAGCTTGTTGTTAAACTTCTTTAACTATATACACGTGAGTTGCGCTCGGTCTTAGCTGTAGATAATATAAGATTTTCATAATATCGATTTGAAACTACATATCGATATTCAATATCGGATTCTAAAACTATATATTTTTGAAACTATATGTGTGAATCAATATGTATTTGTTAACCTCAAGCCATCGTGAACACAATCGCATACAAGTAGCAAAATTAATCAAGCAGAATTTCACATTCACACTTGCTAAACGGTAAATAAACTGGCGTGCGATTAACTGGCATAGTTATTTACAAGCATGTCCTTTCGTATTCTTCACAAAAGTATGGAAACAAACTTAACTCTAATACGTTCAGGTTTTGAATCCTAAGAATATTTGAATATTGCTATTTCACTCACTCACAAATTCAAATGCCTGAATCGGTTCAAGTCTATGATGTAATAATATCGGATATAGAGCGACGTATCGTATGCAGCATATGGTGGTTAAAAAATAGTTTTGGTGGGCATCGATAATTTGATGGACAACGAAATTGATATAACATACGTTTCAATATGTATACGATTTGTATCGTCCACACCTACTCGGTCTTACATTCTACCACAGAACATGGATAAAAGGTTCTGTGCCTTCAAAAAACGTGTTACCCTGATGAATGATTTAAAAAAACATTAGTTCCCGAAATCAAACTAGATGTCGCTACGGTAGGTTCTTGATTTCTCCATGATAACCCTTCCGGTTTTCTTCCATGTTTAAAAGTAAATTAATTTTTAAACTCAATAAACAACTTATTTTCAATTTGTACTTTTTCATATTTGTATTGATATCTAAGTTTCGAACTTTTCAAATTTCAGTTTTTTAATATATTAGTTAAAAGGAACGGAAATTACTGCCTTTAGTCCATGGTTTCCTGCAAAAATCAACTTTTGCTAGAGTCACCATCTAGTGGAGGTGCTTTTATAGTGCTTTCGTTTTTTTTGTTAAATACTTTCTCATTACCCGTGTACAGTCTATGGAATTGATCTTTATCAAGAGTTTAAATATTTGTAAAAATATTTCTTTTGACTGTTTGGGTGGTGGTGGTGGTGTCTACTTTCTGGAAAATCAGGGAAAAGTCAGGGGAGTAAGAGATGGTCAGGGATAGTCAGTAAAATTCAGGGAAAAATATTAAGTCAACCGTGAAGTCTAGAAAAAATATAAGATCTTTGTATTTTTTGATTACTACATTTTTTTTTAAATCTCGTAATTTGAAAATGATGTTTGTGTTGCACAAACATATAAGACTTATATGTCTGTGTTGTGTTTGTACTTTTTACTGAGAAATATATTTAATATTTTATATACGATTCAAACTTTGTTTAAGATATAATCTTTTTTAATACGGAGTCATCTATTATTGATATTAATATAGTATTAAGTTGACATATAATATACAGTAAGTGCCTACTTTACCAAACCTTTTCAACTAAACAATTATTTTAACAGAATATAAAGGCTTACGATTCTTTCTTTTTTGCAACAACATTGCATTTAAAAAATACATACATAATAAAAATAAAATACACGTTAAAAGAATTTTGACATATTATTTATTCAATTAATTAAAAAAAATAAGCGATATAGATTAAAAAAATTGACTAGCGAAGTCGAGTAAAAAATAGGACTCGTGTCTCATCACTAACTCGAGTTGGCATCACTAGTTTGCTTTATCAGCAGGATTGTCAAAATCGTTTCTTTCAAGAACGCTTTTGCTTGACTTTTACTCAGTTTCTTTCTTTAAAAGAGCAAAGGATTATTTTTTATTACAATATAAAGCATTACATATACTGCACTCAAATAAATGTATTTTAAATTTATAAACTATGCTCGATGTTAGTGCATCTTGTCGTACATGTATTAAAAATAATGTTACTTTATTTAATCTTCATGAACCTACTCAATTAGAAGAAAACTATTGTAAGATACCATTGGCTGACCTATTGTTGGATTGTTTATCAATACAAGTAAGTTTTTTCAATACTTGAACTTGGGCGAAATTATGAGTTAAATATTATAATGTTCAGAATTCCACACTGGCTCTTTGTATTACAGAAATGGAACAACATCTTAAACTCACAGCCAGTTGCACAAACGTTCATTAAGATTTTCATTAGTTTCAAGCAACATTACCCATAATAATTGACATTCATTAGAGCTTAAAGACGTCATTAAACCATAATTAGATGAATTTATTTAATAAAATAAAAAGTAGAATATATTTTTCAAATATATATTTGTAGATTTCAGATGATGATGGTCTTCCTCAAAAAATCTGTAGCGATTGCGCTAAAGCACTGCACTTCATTTATAATTTTCGGAAACAAGCCTTTGATGCGGAAAAAGGTTACAAAACATTGCTGGCCGATTTAAATAAACAAGAGCTTTATGATGAAGAGTCTATAAAAGTAGAATTTGAAGTTAAATCTGAAATTGTTGACCAGTTCGAGGCTTTTGATGAATTTGTATCAGAGGAGACTGATCCAAGTAATGAGATAGCCGAACAAATTGAGAAAGTGTTTGAGTGTAATACCTGCCACAAACAATATACTAAGGAAAAGAAATTTCTTAAGCATTTGATGGTGCATGATGTACCACCATTGTTATGTTCATTTTGTGGCAAATCTTTTCACAAACAAGCATCCTTGGATAGACACATTTCAAAACAGTGCAAAAATTTAAATAAATGTAATATATGCTCAAAAGATTTTGCCACAGAACCCCTCCTTTTAGAACACATGAAAATACATTCAAATGTTGAAATTAAGACTGAAATAGAAATAAGAGATGAGACCAAACAGTTCAGATGTACTGATTGTGATATGGTGTTTAGTAAAATTAGGTCCCTCGCTATGCATAAGAAGAAACACAAAAACAAGCCTAACGATTACATATATCAATGTGATATTTGTATGAAAGAATTTAAAATGAAATCCCTCCTTAAAAGGCATATAGGTATACATAGCTCAGATAAACAATACTCATGCCAAAAATGCCCTAAACAATATTCAAGAAGGGATCAGTTTTGTGAGCACTTAAAAAGGCATGATCATGGCAAGGGAAATGTTTGTTCTTATTGTAATAAAGGTAATTGTATCTCAGATATTTGGCATCAATATTTAATTTTCCAAGTACAATAATTCTGACACAAGCAAGCATTGCAGGGCATGCTTACATTACTTCTACTAAAAATTATATTGTAAATTGTACAGTCAACAGCTGGTCAGGTTATACAAAACTATAAAATTTGTCTATTTGATTTTTAACTTTAACTTTAATAGATATCAAAATCAATTTTGAAAATTAGAAATTTTGGTAGCCTGAAATGCAGCCATATTATGTAAATAAGAGAGAAATGTATTGTATATTAAAATCTATTGTTTGCAAGTTTGAAATTCAATTAATAAGATATCATTAACAATATTGTTTTTTGTTTGTATATAAAAAATAGCATATAAAAAATACTTGTTGTATGATATATTTGTGTTACATATATAAATAATTTTAATGAAAATAACTGCTTGAATCTATCAATTCTGCATGCAACTAATATCTACCATGTTACTCCTCACAACACAAATGCAAGATCATAAAATCTACAAATGTCATGACAGTACAATAAAAATTTGAAGAATAATTTTTATTCAAAGTATTATGTTATGAAAAACTCTTAGATAACTTTCTGTTTATATTACCTATCAATTCTCACGAGACTGCTGGTGTTTTACAAACTAACCCTGTATATATTCAAATCAATCAATCTATTTATTCTTAGCCAGGAAATATGTTTGTTTACCTATATTATACTGGTATACCCACATTATAATCAAAATGCCAAACTGATCATCAACATTTATAATGGCAGTGGTTAGCGTGTTTGATCTGTGATTGCGGACGATAAGCGACGATCGCAAAGGCCGGTAATTAAATTAATGTGCCCTAAAGTGAACACAAACATGTGTTACGAATGCTCATATATTAATGCCCATGGACTACATATTTTTGTTTTCCATATTGTGTAAAAGTTCAATATTGTCTATAAAGTAGACATATATAATGTCAGAATACTTGTATCTTTGACCTTGACTGTATATACTAATAATTTTTAATTTATTTCACCTACTCTTAATATTTTTTTGTGACATGTTATTTATTAGGAATGCATCCGATGCCGATACATCGGCGATAGTGTGAGTTTCTTGACATATCGGAATAAAAATAATATAGTGAGAAAAATAATTTCTCGATACACCGGATATTTTGATTTTCGCGCGCGCAATAACCCATGTGAACGAATCATCGCCGCGCATAATTCGTTCATTAAAATGCAACATAATTTATCTTCTTTCTTTGTCTTATGCTGTTCACGTCGTCACATGGCTCATATCGTCGGTTGCTTTTGGTGTGTCATAATTTTCATTTCGTTAGTGGTGGATTATGACATGTTTTGTTTTTGTACCTTTCGAGCTTCCAAAGAATCTTATCGACGACACATTTTTAAATAAATATCGCTATTGTATCAGTTGAAGTGCCTATCGATGCATCCCTAATTATCATGTTTATATAGACGTCTATTTTTTATGTAGCATTCACACAGCTGTGCAGTTTAAAGGACCACCTGAGGACGCATACCGGCGAGACCCCGTTCCTTTGTTCGGAATGCGGCAAGGGCTTCAACAACAGCTCTAATTTGCGTCAGCATATGATGCGCCACACTGGAGTCAAACCGTTTGCTTGCTCAGTATGTCCTAAAACCTTCTGTACAAAAGGTAAATATACAATAATAGTACTTGGCAAACGAAAAAACGAACAATAACCCAAAGTATTATGTTAGCTTTAATGTAAACGATATATATCGTTAACCATAGAACTCTGTATTGATACTCCGTGAAGTCAGTACTTGTTCTACGGAATCCACTAGGTCGCTGACCGCCCGTACAATTATTATTAGTTACAGGGTTATATGGATAATGATACATAGCGTTTACATTTGATTTGGATATTTAATAAAAGTATTAATTTTTAATTTGGCAAATTTACATTGATTATAATTTTGCATAACCGCAGTATATATATATATATATATATTTAGTTAGTATGGTTTTTTGGGATGTAATAAAGTTGAAAAACTGCATCAGGATATGAATAAAAATAAATAGCATATAATTGATTTCTTCCAACAGGTCAAATGACATGTCATATGACCACCCACACCGGTATCCACCCGTACAAGTGCGAACAGTGCGGTGCTTCGTTCACCAAACCGAGCTCGTTGAAGAAGCACAACTTGATACATTCCGGCTTGAGACCGTTCGTATGCGACACATGTAACATGCGGTAAGTGTTGCTTTTTAAAATTATTCTAGTGAAAATCATTAGTTACCTAAAAGTATAATTGTGATCTCGCCAGTACACAGCATTGCTGTCACGTAAGCCGTTGCGGCAGTTTTGCGGCAGCTCTGTAGTGTGACGCATGATACCGAACAAGGCAGTAGTTTTGTGCTGTTCATTTAGTTGCTTTTAGTAGAATAAATGTCATTTTAGCACCAAAACCAAATTGAATAAACAATGGGGTTATTCTATTTGGTAAGTGATAAGGAAAATTTCAGAGTTATTCAATTTTCCACATCACTTTACAAATAGAATTATCGTTTAAGTACATGCCACTTTTGGTCTGCCGCTGCATTACTGCGGAGCTAGGACTGTAATTTCATGTAAACCTAATTTATTTAACATGGCCATTCAATTTCTTATTAAATTGCCACTAATTTTAATGGACCTGCCAATAACTAATCACATCTTTAAAAAATGTCTTTAAAAAATATCAACCCGAGAATATTTGGAATCTAAACGTTAGCATTTTTAGAATAATAATTAGGTATTGAAAACTGAAATAGAATTTAAATTTATTGACATTTAATACAAAATAAATCTCATTATTTATTAATATTATTGACAGTAAAATTGACATTGAAATTATATGAAAATTTAATGATAATATTTATGTCTAATGATGCCTAATGTATTTTATATTTTTTTATTATTATTGTATAATATTACATCATGCCATAAATGCTTGGTTTGATTATTATTGATTTTTATTCGAAAAAAACGGCTAGTATATCTATCTATAAACGCACAATAACATATTGAAAAATATTTTTGGTCCATAAAAAGTCTTAGGACTAGCTCTCGTAGTTTATTCGCTGGTTTTTTATCAATAGCCCTGTATAACATGTTGTTTTCCTTGTCGCGATAGGTTCACGTGTAAGGATCACCTGAACCGGCACTGTCGCATCCACACCGGCGAGAAGCCCTACAAGTGCAAGTACTGCGAGCGCGCCTTCTCGCAGAGCAACGATCTCGTCAAACACACCAGGCAACACGTCGGACAGAACACATACCAGTTAGTATCTCCACATTAGTCAGTATCTCCATACCACACAGTATCTCCAAAATAGTCTGTCTCCACATTAGTCAGTATAGTCATACTAGTCAGCATTACTAAAATCCATACTGGTCAGTATCTTCACTCGATATCAGTCAGTGTCTCCGTACAACGCAGTGGTAGCGCAAGATCTGAATTAAATGTGGCCCTAAACTTTTTGCGTGACTTATTGGTTTTATTATTTATAAATGATAATTTAAAAATTTAAAAGTTTTCTTAACTTCGCCTCTCTCCCTTTCACGTGTTACGTAACATATGGATTACCCTGAAAGATTTATTTATATTTATTTTCTCTTAATAGGTGTTCTTTGTGCTGCTTGAGATTCCGTCTTAAAAGTGAACTGAATCAACACTACCCAATCCACTACGTGAACGGGGAAGAACCTCCCGTAGTGCCTATAGACAAAGAACATAGTGCTCCCATACTGATGTTGAAACCTGACCATACAGCCAAGGATAACGCAGCGTTGGCGCTGGACCCGCCTGAAGGCATCATTGAGAAGGAGTTTCACAAAGACAATGTCGATAGAACTATCACAATTACGATAAGTAGAAACGGATTAGATAAAAATGGTTTAGCTGGCGATATTACAATTAACATTAACCCAGAGAAAAGTTAATGAATATTCTATAACCAAATTTGTATCTTTAAAACTGTCGTTGCCGTTAATCATGGGACTGATGGGGGGGGGGTAGTGAACTGTCACGTTTGTTTTGTTGAATGTTCGGTCCGGTGTCTATATTTAATCGTTTAGGCGCTATTGGTACAATTCGCGATTAGTCCAATCGTGAAAAAATTACAAATTCGCGATTAGTCCAATTCGCTAATGGGCCAATTCGCTGTTGGGCCAATTCGCTATTGGGCCCATTCGCTATTGGGCCGATTCGCTATTAGTCCAAAATAAAAGTATATCCAAAATGAAACAAAGGAGGTCATTTATTAGTATGGATTTTAATTATTATACATTATTATAATTTGAAGAATTAATTAACAACTTGTTTCATATTTACGTAACATATATTCAAAGAAGATAAAATTAAATACAAGTAAAGAAGGTTGTAATGTAACTCGAACGACCTCAGTAATTCCATTATTTTCAGCTATTCACATTCCAGAAGCATGGAGGCATGTTCTAGAAAATGCTCCAGACAGCGACGAAAAAATTAACAAATTTCGTAAGTACTTCGAAAAGGAACGGTACCCACAACTTTCACCTACCATACTAAGTTGCGCACATCAGCGCCACGGAACAACTAACGCTTTGGAGGACTGGCATTCCTGGTTAAATCGGCGCATTCCTAAAAAACCTAATTTATTTCTGTTTCTTCATAAACTGCGAAGAGAGAGCAAGTATCAGGATACCCGAATAACGCAAAGTTTGTTTAAAAATACAAATCACAAAAGGAGAAAACGCGACATTTTATTTGACAAAAAATATGAACAGTTACTAAACCAATATGAAAATGGAACATTGACAACAAACAATTTTTTTTACAAAGTTATATACTTACGTTTATCGTTATTTAAAAATTAGTGAAACAATGTTTATATTTTTAGTTATAATAATGTATAATAAGTAAAATCCAAACAAATAAATGACCTCCTTTGTTTCATTTTGGATATCCTTTTATTTAGGACCAATAGCGAATTGGCCTAATAGCGAATTGGCCCAACAGTGAATTGCCCCAATAGCGAATTGGACTAATCGCGAATTTATAATTTTTTCACGATTGGACCAATCGCGAATTGTACCAATCGCGCCTAAACGATATTTAAGATTGCCTCCTGCAAATCAAGTTTTTAACATGGTGCTTAAATTACACATACATTTTTGTGCAACAGTTATTTTTCGGGATTCTACACCGGGTATCACTAAGAGGTTTCAAAGTTGGTAAAACGTCACATGGTTAATGGACGCCTTCTAAATGTAGGGTGTTACTATAGTTGCTATTATATGACAGTCACAAACTTTTGAATTATCTTTATGAAAGCTATTGAAGAAATTTAATCTGCGAGTTGACTGTAGACGAAAAATAATATGATTGATACTTAATCACAATGCACATACACAATCTAAAAAAACCTGTGAGTCGTTGACATCATAAGAAATCAATGATATAATTGTTCAAAATTACAGCACAAAATGACATTCAAATGGGTTCATTTTAAAAAAAAAATTTACATCGATCATTTTAAGATCGATCACATTAAAATCAGCATAAAAATATCCATTATCAATTAATCAGTACAGTTTCAAGTGGACATGCTTGAAACTGTACCGATAAAGCAAATATTTTAAAGATGATTTAAGGCATACACAATAATCATACCAAGGGTATTTTTGTTGTGATATATATTTTAAATTTTTTTGGATAAAAGATTTATAAAAAACGGGCTATTGCATAATACCTATGTTATTTTTAATTTCGATTTGATATAACTTATTATTGATTATAATAGATCATTTCTCTTCATTGTGGCCATGTCCCTGATGCTTCAGTTGTAACTGTATGGGAACCATTTAGTACTATTTTTCAAATCTTAAAGATCATATAGAGCTTCGAAAGCTTCTGCGCGAGATTGTACTTGACATATATCCCTAGTTTCAGTTTCTCCTTCGTTTCCTCTCTCTTTTCTATTCAAATAGTTTTTTTAAGATGTTTCATGTCAAGATAAAAGACAAATTATAACTAGAATACGCTATCAAAGAAAATGAAACAATAAAAATAAATATACCCCAATCACTGTCGAAGATAAGAATAAAGTTGTGGTAAATCGTAACATGTCTCTTTGCGCCGTAAAACTTTAAAGTTGACATTTAGAGCCGAGACGAATAAGTCCGGATAATCGGATGTTCAGATAATACGGATTCTACTGTGATAACGTAAATATATTATTAAAAATATAATAAATTCGGATTCGCATCGAGTGAAAAAACTTTTTTTTTTAAAGTGAATTTGCTTTTAAAGTTATAATTAAAAAGAAACATATTTTATGGGTATATTTTAACGTAATAATTAATTTAAAATGAGTTTTGAAATACTGTCAACTCCCAGATTAAGAATTTACTTCTAGAAAACTATTATGCCTAGATAAACTATTTTGAAGTTCTATCGAGTTTAACTTATGAATAAAAGGCAAGCTAGATGCTGCAATTTTCTTTTTGTATATAAAAATGTTAAGCAAACCATTAAATATGTATGTGGTAAACATTTATGTGGTCCGGGGTTCGGTTCCGATCGGGTCCGTTTTAAATTTCGAAAACAATAATAATAAATTGGATAATATGGGTTTTCACTCGTATTATAGTCGAGTACGATTAATTACTCGAGTATATGTTTTAATGAACTAAAAACTTTTAACATCTAATAATAATAGTAATCTAACTTTTGAGAGTTTTAACCTCATTGAAATTCTTGTTTATTTGTTAAAAATATTTGATTAAGTTATGACATTTTACTAAAGTAATTACTTGTCTCGACTATAGATACGAGTGTGAGATCCTATTTTTTAAGGTTGCCTTTACTCAGTTGTGTTTCTTAGCCTGAAATATACTCCGATTGAATAGGCCACGACGATCGGCAGAGCGATTACGTAAAATTTCGAACCCGAATTCTAATTCATTCAGGTGCCTGAATTAACTTCGAAAACGAATCCGCTGAACGTATATCAATTTAAAAATTCTTGCGATCCCATTTTTATGTATAAAAATACGAAAATAAATTGATTTATTCATACGTGTGTCAGATATTATATCTCTAAGTCGTTTCGAAACTCACTTCACTTATGCCACGAAATCTTAATATTGGCTTTCTAAGTGAATCCGAATTCGGGTTCAAATTTTTATGGAATCGCTCTGCAGGCCTTCAATTTTCCTAATGTTAACGTAATGTTAGCGTTTCAATGACGTCTTATTTCATTGAATTTTGTAATTTTAATATTCACCTAAGGCTTAATATCTGCAATGTATTTTTCTCTAATCATTACGTTTGTTGTTTTCTGATGTAGTAATAAGAGTTGTGTAAAAAGGACCCATGCGGCTAACATTAGCCAAATTACATACGTAGTTTAATATGTTATTATGTTGTATAAACTAAAGTTGTGTATGTAAGATATTAGCTATAAATACAGCGCTTGTTTGTGATAAAGAGTGCTACGAGATGCCTTATATAGAAAAAAAAGTATAGTAGTATGAATACATTGGTGTCGTATATGATTTTTCTCAATATTTATGTTTAAAAACACTCTTATAACATTTCTTTTAAAAGACTACATAAGTAAGTTTTAATAGATGAAGAGATCGTGACAAATATATGTAAGAGTTTTCTAAAGCTTGATATTTCAATAATGTGCGGAGGTCAGGTGCGGGAACACCTGGTGGCAGCGCGCTTTGAAGTATTTAGAATGGGACTGTATATTACAAGAGGTTTAAAATGGTTAAAATTTTGTGGAAAAGCTTGTTCTTAATACAAAAAATGTACAAAAATGTGCTCAGACTGCATAATTGTGGAACACGGTGGCTTAGAATGTCGCAGAAGCTGTCGCGAAACTCAGCCTGAAAAGGAGATTTATAATGATTAAAATTTATTTAATGAATAACTAAATTATTATAAGTAACTTCTGAGAAGAGCTGAGTCTTCAATATGCTGAAATATCATGCTTTCGAAAGTTCTTGAATATTTTTGTCACGAGCTCTTAGACTATTAAGAGCACCTGTACAAATCCTTTAAAAAATGCACGAAAGATATTTATTTTGTATTATGAATGATAGTATTTGTGAATTATGCGAAATTTGGCTTAACATAAATGTGAAAACAATAATATTAATGTATAATAAATGTTGTTTTTCTCTCAATATGACTAAATACAACAAAGGCATAATTGCATTTAATGTATTAGGGACATCAAAATTTATTGTGGACTCGCCTGGATATGAGTGTAAGCTCCATTTTATACGCTTAAATCTAAGGATTACAACTGCTTAAAAGTAGATGTAGAAAATTTCTCGATTCAACAGTAATTCTCCTAACGATCCTACCAATTTATGAAATGTGCTTCTTTCATTTGAGTATCATTTATTCTGTGTATGAAACAATTCAGACACATATACACGCCCACAAATGCCCGTATTAAAAGTTTGTTTTTATAGTTATTCCTTCTAAATAGGTGGTATGTTGATTTGTAATTCCTAAATTCTTTTTTATAATAATATTAAATTGACACATGTGAAATTTAATTTGAAACGAATCTTATATTATTTACTAGGCATTCATATTAATAATCTTTGAGCTATTCTCAGTTTATATTAGTTGAAAGAATGTGATTCTCATTATTTGTTTAACCATTTCTTTGTGCCTGTACTGTTATACAAAAACAAACTCAAGGTCTGCTCTCTTTTTTTCTATAGTATAAGTAAAAAAATAAGGCCATTGAAACCAATTCAAGCGAGTTTTTAATATACCGACGGATCAGTAACACTACGAAGACGTTTTGGAATATACGTATTTTTCTTTTCAAAAATTATGTTGTAGTGAGCCGTACGGATGAGAATTAATTAAATATTTTATAATAGAGAAAAGAAAATAGACTTTAGACGTTTGTTATAGTTGTAATTACACATTGGGGCTATTTATTTATGATCATTATGTAAACGAATAAATTTAATTACATTAATATATATCGTTATATTATTGTCATTCTGCTATAAATACAGCCGTCGAATGCGGCTAAGAAAAAAAAAACTTTTACGAC